TGTGAAGACTTACAGAAAACGTTTGACCTTTGCCAACAAAGGATATACAACAAAGTATTGAGATGAACTTTTGTCATTGACCAAATACTTATTTTCCACCATTATTTGCAAAAAAATTCTTTAAAAGTCAGACAAAATGATTTTCTCAATTTTTTTTTCACATTTTGTCTCTCATAGTTGAGGTCTACCTATGATGTCAATTACAGGCCTCTCTCATCTTTCTAAGTGGGATAACTTGCACAATTGGTGACTGACTAAATACTTATTTTCCCCACTGTACACCCTCAGCAGGGTCCTGGAGGGTGCATGGGAGTTCAATCAGTGTACATGTGTTTTGTGGACTTGGAGAAGGCGTTCGACYGTGTCCCTCAGGGACTCCTGTGGGGGGTACTCTGGGAGTATGGGGTACCAGGCCCATTGATACGGGCTGTCAGGTCCCTGTACAACCGGTGCCAGAGCTTGGTCCACATTGCTGGTAGTAAGTTGGACTTGTTTCCGGTGAGAGTTGGACTCCACCAAGGTTGTCCTTTTGTCATCGATTCTGTTCATWACTTTTATGGACAGAATTTCTAGGTGCAGCCGAGGTGTTGAGGGGATCCTTTATAGTGACCTTAGGATCACATCTCTGCTTTTTGTGGATGATGTGGTCCTATTGGCTTCATCAGATCCTGATCTCCAGCTCTCACTGGAGTGGTTCACAGCCGAGTGTGAAGTGACCGGGATGAGGATCAGTGCATCCAAATCCCAGACCATGGTCTTTAGCTGGAACAGGGTTCCTYCTCCGGGTCAGGGAGGAGGTCCTGCCCCAAGTGGAGGAGTTTAAGTATCTCAGGGTCTTGTTCAGGAATGTGGGAAGAATGGAGCGGGAGATCGACAGGTGGATTGGTGCTGTGTCTGCAGTGATGCGGGTGTTGTACCGGTCTGTCGTGGTGAAGAGAGCTGATCCAGAAGGAGAAGCTCTCGATTTACCAGTCGGTCTACGTTCCTACCCTCATCTATGGTCAGGAGCTTTGGGTAGTGACTGAAAGAAGGAGATGACAGATACAAGCAGCTGAAATGAGTTTCCT